CACTAAATTAGTATTGGAACATCACCATAAGAAATATCTGCATATAGGTCCACAAGCATTGTTGAATTGTGTCAGACAAAAGTTTTGGCCAGAGGTCGGAAACCGGCACAAAAAATTGTGCACAATCGTGTAGTTTGTAGAAGGGCTAAACCAATTCTAGTTGAACAAATAATGGGATATCTTTCTCAGGAGCAGGTGAGAATAAGTGCACCTTTTAATTGCACAGGGATCGATTTTTGCGGCCCATTTTATATAAAGTATAAACATCAATGAAAGGGACAATTTCAAAAGATATATGTTGCTATTTTTGTCAATAAGGCAGTACATTTTGAATCAGTATCAGATTTGTTATCTGATGCCTTCATGCATTAAAAAGATTCTTCTCTTGTAGGGGTAGAAGCTCAATCATATTTTCTGACAATGCAACAAATTTTGTTGGTGCTAGTAGAGAATTGACTAAATTGTATAATCTTGTTAAGAAGCCAGATGAATCTTTAGGAAATTACTTAACTTCTGAAGAAGTAAAATGGAACTTTTTGCCTCCTAGAGCTCCCAATTTTGGAGGACTTTGGGAGGCAGGAGTCAGATAATTTAAATATCACCTTAAACGTGTCTTAGGGGAAACAAAATTTACGTATGAAGAATTTCTTACAGTGACTCTTCAAACAGAAGGTATATTAAATTCTAGGCCCATCACTTCATTATTGGCATATGACGACTGTATTTAAGCTCTAACTCCAGGTCATTTTTTAATTTTTAGACCTATTACAGCGATTCCAGAACCAGAACTTCTAGAGACGCCTGAGAACAGATTAGGCCGCTGGCAAAAAATTACCAAATTGACCAGGATTTTTGGAAAAAGTGGAGTAATGACTACTTAAATCACCCCCAACAAAGAAACAAGTGGCAGTTTCAAAAACATAATGTTAAAATTAATTCTGTAGTTTTGATAAAAGAGGATCATTTGCCCGTTAATAAATGGTCCCTTGGTTGTATTGTAGAGGTTTTTCCAGAAACTAATGGCAATCTAAGAGTAGTCACTGTTCGAATTTCAAATGGTCTGTTGAAACGACCAGTTACAAAATTACCTATTTTGATGTAAGCAGCTGAATTCTTGTAAACTTAGAGATAGTGAAATACCTTGATATTTTTGTATTATTTAGCATGTATTTAGTATATTAAGTTGATTGAAATGTCATTATCATACATGTTTATTGCTGTGTTTTACAACCAATACGGAATGTTATGTATTTTTTAAAGTAAGTATTTGTTGTTAAATGATTAAATTGATATTTTCTTGTATTATATGTTGAATGAAATCAATCAACAGGGGGCAGAATGTTGTTGCCTTTAACTGTAATTGCCCCAAACTTGGCGATCTTACAATTTAAACTGAATGCCGCCAACTATGCGGGAAAATTGCCAGTTTGTTCGTCGGCAGACACCAAGTCGCATCGGTGTCAATTGTCGAGAACTTTGGTTCTAAGCAATGTATTATTGTATGTAGCAATGTAAATATAGTATTGTTGAGTTTTAATAAAACTACTAAAAGACATTATCTCATCATACAGTCCACATTTCAACACAAACAGGATGCCTACTTCAGTCTGAGTAATAATTTTCCTTCTTTTTATGTATGCTTTTTACATTTCATTTCCAGATTTCAATTAATTTTATTAGCTCTTGCAGCATACATCATAAAAATGATCTTATCAAAGGTCTGTAAGAGATCATTTTGAAATAATTGCTGTTCCTTTAAGACTTCTGTTAAACTATTCAGACTATAATTGCTTCCTCTGCTATTGGGACAAAAAAAAGAGAAGATATCATAACATCCGAACATTAGATTAAAACTAGCATCTGAATCTTAGGAAAGTCTATTGTCATCAACATTATATACTTGCAAAAAATACATTTTCCTCCACTGTTCATTAAGTTAAAACTTAGGAAGAATTTAACCATGGCAATGAATAAAAGGGCTAGAATTTACATCTTTGAAACAAATCTCCTAAATATAAGCAAAAGTAAAATCAAAGTAGTTACTTTAATGAGATGGCAAACTAGAAAATTCTTTTTCTGTAAAATTTTTCTGTAATATCAACAACAGTCAAATTCAAACGACATGCTGCCTGACAGAATAAATATTTTCAAAGACTTTATAGGTATCTAGTGCATGTAGAGAATTAATAGGAAAGCGGGAATGATCCTTTTTTAGTCATACAAAACTATGCAATGCAAGTCTTTCAACTTTTATTTTCTGTATTCACATCCAGATTTCTCCTCTGCTAATATCACAGCTACCAATAAAAAATAATTCATGATAAATTTTTGATTCTGAGAAAGGGAAACAAAGCTACAGAAATCACTTCTGTCAGAACTTCCTAAGCACCTAAAAGATATTCTTTGGGCCAAATATGTAGAAATTCATGTGATGCCATCTTTTAGAAGATTTGCTTTCTTGATACATACATATTAAATTTATATACAACTCTACAAATTTTAATGGAAAATCACAAAGGTGGATGGAATCCTTGCATAATAGAAAAAAATATGGCTTCATACTTAAGTTTAGCAAAGGAATTATTAGATTCATATACTTTTATTGGTATGATGGGAAAAAATATTACATGATATAACAGCTGAAATATATACACATAATTTAAAAACTATCAATTCGCTTCTATTAGAGTTTTCATATTAAAATTGGAATTTAAGTATTATCACAACTCCGTTTGCGGAAATCGCCAAAATTTCAGAATAAGCCAAACTCTGGTAACCACGTGAGTAACAATTATTCAGGCAAACATACACATGACAAATATCCAGCTTCCAATGTCGCTATTTTTATGTACATTCTTTTTGATGTATTCAAAGTTCCAAAGGCTTATATAAAGATTTTTTTTGTCTTAAACTTGATTTTAATATTTGTGTTTATAGGATTTTTCTATAATAGAAGAAACAGAGGTGAATTTTCTGTGGGAATAGTATTTTGCTGCAAAATTGCTAGAGGAACGTTTTGAATACTTTACAAAGAGATCATTGTGAAATTTTTGCCGTAATACAAACAAAAATCTGTAATTAGGTTTACCAATTTTTTTTTGGAATACACAGTTGAAATATAAAATATGTATGTAATATACAATCAAAAGTCGTTAATTCGGACACCCATAATCCGGACCTCAAAGCTACAAACTTTCTGCACATGCGTCGCACATTGTCGGGGATCGTCTGCACATTGTCGGGGAAACGCCGTGGCGCGCAATGAATTAGAAGTTGATCAGTCAGCACTATCCTTATCTTCAGGGCAGATGTTTTCATTTTATTTGGCTTATAATTCCTTACTAAATGTAGTATTTCATCTGGATGTATTCCGTCTTTGATATGATTTAAATCAAATTCCTCATCATTATAATTTGCTTCCGATAGTGAAGAAAGTGACACAGAGGTAATTGAAAACGAAAGAATTTCGATTGACAAATTAGTCGGTATTCTCAACACAGCAATTATAGGACTTGAACAGCGAAACTTTGTAACTGAACAAGAAATTATGTCTTTATAGAATTAAAGAGAAAGTATTATGACATAAAACGAAGCAACTTAAACAACTTACATTGAAAGAAATGTTTAATAAAGTAAAAAAATAAATATTAAGTTTTTTTTTTTGTAAATTTTGATACCCTTCAGATCATAATTTTTCTTTATTTCATAAATTACGGTAACATATTTTTAATTTTATAATTTCTGCATGCCATCTTACCAGATTTAAACTGATGATCTATAATCCGGAAAAATCAATAATCCAAAATCACAGAAGTCCCGACGAGTCCGGATTTACGACTTTTGACTGTATAATATTTTTACAATAAAAGTACTTTTTTCCCATAAAATTCATCAAACTGCGCCAAGGTAGTTACGATAATACATAAGTACTTTAAAATCTTGCATACATATTTTGCATCAGATTTTAAATAAGCAAAAAAGTACTCAAAACTACATTAAGATGAACTTTGTACACTCCTTTTGCAGTACACAAGTAACTGACACTTTTAAGTTCTACCCAGCAATCTTAACAAGGATGTTTTTTTTAAAATACAAAACATAAAATACAAAACTGAATATTTTTTTTTAAAGTTTATATATAAAGCATTACACAGTTAACAACTTAACGACAGCTGTCAGTTTTGTCCTCTGCTTTCCCTGTATATTACGTTTAACTGATTGCTCACATAATATTAATAGGTATTATTTAATACTGTATGATGAACTGCTAACTAACTTGGAAAATATCAAAACAATAATCTATTTTTATGCATCTATGCTGCAAAATGTGAAGAAAGATTCAGAGAAAAGAATTTTCTCCAGTATCCAATCAATTTTGTTTGAAGTGATGGGAAATTAAGTTGTTATGAGAGTTAATTTCTTATATAGACATACATACACAACTTCACCACTCTCACAAATTACAGCATATAGAATTAGATGACTATGTCTTGTAAAACAGGAGTATTTCCTCATTAGATTATAAGAATTATATAACTTCATTTTTATCATCAATTTTAAATCATTTGATTATCTTCAGGAATTCAGATAAGCATTAACATGTCTTTAAACCTACAAACCTTAACAGCATTACAGCTCGTGAGGATTAACGTTTGACATACAATAGTGGCAGGGATGCATTATTTATTATTAGCAAAAAGTCATAATAGCTTTTGAATTATCAGATGTCATAAAATTGCAGTCATTTCAAAGTAATACAATGCTGTACTATAGTTTATAAAATAGTACTATATTATAAAGTGCACATTTATATACTTATAATTTTTTTTTACAGTGCAAAGTTTTGGTCTTCCAAATTTAAGTATATCAACTTTAATTTTAAACAAACAAACAAACACACACACACACACACAAAAAAAAAATTATTATTAATCAGCAATTTAATTACACTGATGGGTTAACTTTTTTTTATTTATAAACAAACAGTTTAATAAAATTACCAGACAGTGCTCTATCTTCCTTTTCAGATCCTTCACTGGATTTTTCTGAAAATATTAATTATTATGAATAAAATTTTCCCCATGTTATCAGAACATTTTCAAGTTCATAATATCAGGGGCATCACACAGTTAGTTAAGTAACATAAAGACCATAAATTTCAGCTTTCTGCTACAAAAAAATAAATACATATCACCAAAGGAAAAAGATTAAGTTCTTAAGCAGCAAATAATATAATAAACTGGTTATCACTAAGTAAGGAAAAATCACAAAAATGACGATTATTCAAAAAACCAGATGGAGAATTTAACGAAACAGACCCACAATGTACAACATATAAAAAGGTATAAAGTAACATGAAAAATTACCAGATGACTATGTTATAGAAATTAGCATATGTAAATGAACTAATCGGATGTGCCAGTTTGGCATATGAAAATTACCTTCAATATGGAGTATGATTTCCCTAGAAGCAATACAGTAATGTGTGATGCAGTCAATTATGTAGTCTTTATCAGTTCTGCAGGATGCAAGCATGGCAAGGGTGTAAAGAGAAGGATTGAGAGCAGCTTTTTTTTTTTTTAAATTTTAAATTTTTTTTTAATACATATTCCTCAAGCATCTCAAACATGCTCAACAGGATCAAGGTTTTGGTGATCGAGCTGGCCACTCCATGTGCTGAATTGTTTGCTTCTGAAGATTATAATCACTGATAGGAGCCCTGGGTCTAGCATTGCCATCCTGTAACAGGAAATCATCACCTATTGCCCTGGCATTAAGGCACACAAACATCAAGGAAGTAATCTCTATTGGCGGGAACATTCACAGTTCCACGTGGAAAGACTGGTGTGTACCCACGCAAAGAGATACCTCAACAAACACAGACACCGCCTCTTCCAACATGGATTACTTTCATGGGTATTTAATGAATGATAATGGGTTCCAGGTTCTCTCAAAATCAAATAATGCCTACTATCACTCTGGAGGGTAAACATGGACTCATCCATAAAGGAACAGCCCTCCACTGATCAGTCGTCTAGTGGACATGTTGATGTGCCCACCTCAAATGTTTCCTTCTATGATGTAACAAGAGCGTCCTGCAAATGGCTGGTCGCCTCAAATACAAATCTCCTCCGTGAAACCTTCTATGCATAGACGATGACACTAACCTCCCAGTGCCTGCAGCAAGGAAGGATCTCAGTTGACTCAGAGCTGCAATTCTATTTCTTCGTGAGCATAACAAATACAGGTCATTGGCGCTTGTCAAAGCAGTAGGCTGTGTTTGGCTGAACCTCCTGGATGCTGAATGTGTGGTTAGAAATTATTGCTAAAGTCTATGAACCACAGAAGAGACTCACATTTAGCCACTTCTTCCTGACTTTCTCCTGCCTATAGTCTCTCAACAGCTTTCCATCGTAGTTCTTTGGGCAAATTATGCCTGGAGGTCATTGCTATGAATTGGCTATACCAGAGTTCTTATCTCAGTATTAAAGTACAATTTGCAAGCTTGCTTCCAAACATGCAATTTTATGCTTCTTGCATATGACATATTCTGATTGTAGCACCACTAATTTGCACATTGCAATTTTATCCAGGAATTCTTATTTGACAACATATTCAAATTTAATACAGATTGGCTTATTTCTGAATGAATTATCATTACTTTTTGTGACTTTTCTTCAATTTTTGGAAATCAGTGTAATATGTGTAACAGTATTAAATAACAGCAATAGTAATATAAAAGTCATATTTGTTTCCTGCATTTCACATCAGTTTTTTTTTTTTTTTTAGTGTAAAAATTTAAAATATTGTCTTATACACTCTAGACATTGACTAATAATTTACAAAGCAATTTCATAATATTAAGAAACATATTTTTTACTTCATACACAAAGATTTCACTAATACAAAATAGATTTGAAATGTTTATGAACTTCTCTCTAGCTTAAAATAAAGAAGAAACATGGAACAGCATTCATTAAATACCTCTAATAATTTTCAAAGCCATTAAAAATATATATGGTAAGAAGTACTACTCAAGCTTAAAACTCACTGCTATCCATCATGCTAATTCAGCAGCCAATGTATAAAAATGATTTTCAATAATTCTGCTAATAACACAAAATGCTTACATACAAATTAATTCCCTTGTAAAATTTTCTGTGGTACTTATTTATATATTTTACTTCTTTACTAATCAAAAGTGCATATTTATTTTTATTTAACAAAGAGCCATCTTGATCAGCACAATGGACAGTGATGTTTGCTGCTGTATTGTGGGCCCCAAGTCAAATCTTGCAAAAAGCATGGATGTTTCTAAGTTTACAGTATCTGCAGCAGAGGGCACTTAAATATTGGTGAGCTGAAAGTCCTCAAGCAGTCTGGTGGGAGGGAAAGAAGTGTGACTTTGGATTTCCCCCCCAGAGCATGCTCCATCAAAAACATTGATAGGACTGTACAGCTAGTGCTGTGGGACTGCACATAAGAGACCATTTGGTGACATTCTGGTGTCCTGTACTGGCCTAGGAGTCTAACAGATCACATATGAGAATGATAATGATATAGATAAGCTTATTCAAAATGTTTAGATTAAGTACCTGAATGTGCAGCATCTTCTCTTTCAGACTCAGATCCTCCACTAGCATTCTCATTATCTAAAGTTAGATAATAATGCAGGTTATATAACAGGAAAGAGGAAAAAAAAAACAGTTACTTTGTTTACATAATAATTAACTATTAAATGTAATTTTGAATTTTAACATTATTCAGGATAATCTTTTGATTAAATTATTTTATTTTTGTAAGAATTACCTCTGGAATATTGAAAGGTTTTAAATTTTAACAGACGCCCAGATAGTTTTTTTTTTTTAATGCTCTCACTGAGCCTGCAATCTACCCGCCTGCTCTTGCATTCACTCCTGCTAAACCATATTTTTTTGTTTCCTTTTTGTTCAACAATAATTCAACAATAAAATTACAAAATTTTGAAAAGCTGCATAGCAGCATATGTTTAGAATTCCCAATGCAGTGTTAGGTGCTTGTACATATTTTTTTCAGCCATTTCTTGCTTCATCATATAAATATTCAGTTTTCTTATTATTAATTTTTTATTCATTAATTTTATTTATTAAATATCACATTCTTCACACTTACATCCCATAAAATCAAATTCAATGGCAAAAATCACAAAAGATTTAAATTGGCATATCTTTAGAATTCTTGATACAGTGTTAGAGAATATTATACATATTTTTATATTCACTGCATTATTTCTTTAAAAACTAACTGCCTGCATGGTCAGCCGCCTAAAACAGTTATCATAAAAAAGAAAATGTATGCAAGTATTTTAATGAACCCATATTTCTAATCAGACTTCTGATGATTTTAATACATGTTTATTCAATTTTTCAGAGTAAATTTGAAAGTATCTCAGCAGCGTTGCCACTCAAACAGGAAAATGAAATTCTCTGACTTTTCCAGGTGTGTTTTAAGGAGATTCCAGTCTATCCACGTAATGCCCATTGGCTGTGCTAAGAGATAAATTAATTATGGTACCACCTGAAAACACAAATATTTGCCAATTACAATATATATATGTCATATATATACGAGGGCATTTCAAAAAGTAAAGATACCCATACGCCAAGGAAAGAAAAGTTTTTGTGAGAAGTTGGCAACACAAGTGTTAACCTTGTCCGTTAGCTTTCTCCTCACGGTCGTTTGGCATTTCAATGTTGATTCTGGTTGGAGTAGGTCGTATTAAAATGGCTGCGCCGCTTCGGAATCCTCCCCCAATGCGAAGCGCTCAGTCATACATTTTTTCATGCAAAAGGTCAGCAACCAGCGATATTCACAAAGAAATTGTTCTGTTTATGGGACATTATGAATCAACAAAATGTAGGAAATGGTGTCGTCATTTCTCTAAAGGTAGGACCAATGTTCATGACGAACAAAGAACAGGTTGGCCATCTGTGATCTCTGATGCCCTTCTTCAGACAACAGAGGAAGCAATTCGTGCGAATAGACGTCTCAAAGAATTGTATCAGATCATACCGGATGTGTCAACGAAAACTCTTTATGAAGTTGTGACTGTCAAGTTAGGGTACAGGAAATTGTGTGCGCGCTGGGTTCCAACAGGCGGAAACCTTCTAAGACTGTGGGATACAAAAGCCTTGTACACGACTTAACAATGTTTGGATAACGGGGGTGTATGTCGAAATAATAAATAATCCAGTTAATAAATGTACTGACATTTTCTATTTTTTTTTTTTTTTTTTTTTTTTTTGGGGGGAGCCATTGTACTTTACTTCGAATCCCTCCAATATTATATATGTCATTACTCGGCGTATTCGGAAACTAATACCGTTTTGAAAAAAAAAAAAAAAAAAGAGAGGAGAGGAGAGTAAAAACTTTTTTCGAATCCAATTTTATTTTACATGAAAATACATGTCTTAAACTATTCTTCAACATAGTTTCCGCCAATGATCAAACACTTGTCACAGCGGTGACCATTTTTTTGTATACCATCGTCAAAGAAACTTCGCCAGTTTCGATAACCACAACTACAGCATTTTCGTGTCATTGTCAGATCCAAAGCGCTTGCCACCAGCTCGCGCTTCATGTGCAGGAACAAGTGATAGACAGACGGCGCCAAGTCCGGGCTGTACGGCGGGTGATCGAACTGCTCCCAATGAAACTGTCGAATTACGATGAGTGACTCCAGCAGTATGGGGCCGAGCATTGTCATGGAGCAACACAATTCCTTACTGAGCATTCCTCTTCGTGTTTTGAACGGCACGCCTTAGTGTGTTAAAGTCACAAAATGGCCACTAATGGTTTCACCTCTGGGAAGAAATTCAGTAAGCAAAACACCTTTCCTATCCCAGAAGACAGTGCACACATGATTTTTGTGATGACATTGTCACTTTGGAACTTTTGTTTTTTCGGAGAATGAGTGTGTCTCCTCCATCGATTGTTGTTTCGATTCTGGTGTGAAATGACACACCCAAATTTCATCACCCCGCACAATTTGTTTAAAAAGTTTTCCCCTCATCACTGTAACCGGTGAGAAATGTCCAGGGCACTACCAAGTTGCTTGTTTTGTGAACATCAGTGAGCATTTTTGGAACCATCGGAACACATTTGCGATAATTCAAGCGTCAACACAAATCGAAGAAAAACAGTACGTGAAATTGTGGAAATGCCTTTGAAAGAGTTGTTATTATGTGAAGCGTCTGTTCATGAATTTGCTTCATCATCAACTTTCCTTACCAAATCATCAGTGACAACAAAGCCGACCACTCCGAGCCTCGGTGTGGACATTTGTTCGACCCTGCATTAAACATTCTTACCCACTTTCTCACCATTCCATCACTTATCACGATTTCACCGTAAACTTCTGTCACTTGACGATAAATTTCGGCCGTTTAACATTCCTTCCTCGCGTTCAAAATTTAATCACGGCACGAATCTCACAGTCAGCAGGAGAACTAATTGTCTTAAACATTTAGAATGTGCCACAGCAAACTGAAAACACAACATAGAGCAACCAAAATGGCGACAATTGAAAGTCAGTGAACAAGAAAGACTAGTGCGCATGCGCGGGACACCTACCACAGCGCTAGAATGAAATGGTACTTAGTTTCCGAATACGCTACGTATATATATTACTTATATATATATATTGGGGATTATATATTATAATGACTTATGATATATAATCCCCAAAGCATTACTGTTATAACTATAATAGGAGTTGTTTTCTCCACTGAAGATTGAGATTAGAATCTGCCCAATCTGGATTAAAAAAGGTCTTGTTTTGCAAACATTTTGCAGGTAAACGAAAGAAAAATCTACTTAATGATATTTTAAAATTAATTCAGGTATTTTATATTTATTTAGTAGCATGCATAAGCAAAAAATATGTGCATTACATTTTGTCATACTGCTAAAATTAATTTCAGGATTATGAGGAGAAAAATTCCTGAAATTTGAAAATATTATTTACTAATAAATAATAAATAAATTTAGAGAGGAGAAGCAACATTAAATGGCATAAATAACATTAAAATAAATATAATTATTTAAAATTGAATTAAAATAATCAACGCTATATTGCCGTAACTATATTTTTACATTTAATGGTTAGCCAAGGTGACTGATTACTATTTTTTTCGATTTTATTTTATACGAGAATACATATTTTCCTTAGTTCAACATACACTGCATGTGGCCATGGGAGTCTCTCGATACTCGTTACTAGAAATCAAAAGTTGTTGGAAACTTGTTTTGCCTTTCTCTCAAGGCAATCTGATTGGAGCTGCGAAAATTGGCTCTATGCCAGCTGGCCGAATGATGCTCACACGATACATAATTCGCCAAGAAAGTGATCGCTTCCAACGTCTGGGCAAAACTCGCTTTTTTGGGGGCAATAGCCATATGAAATTCCCTGACTTTTCCAGATTTTGACTAAAATATTTAAATTCCCTGAATTTTTTTGTCAATTTTTGAATTCCCTGAATTTTTCCGGTTTTCCAGGTAGTGTGGCATCTTTGTCTCAGGCTTTGCTGAATGGCACATGGAAGATAAAAGTATTTTATTTCTGGCTGTGGTAACACATTGCTTTCATACAGCCGAGTTTGGTAATTAAAATCAAAAAATAAATATTATACATTTTCCCCCAATAGCTAAAGTCTCACATGGTGAAGAATAAAAATCGCATCTTATTTTACACAGTGTTGCCACTGCTAACTTTCAAACTGTTAATCAAAAATTCGTTTAAGTTTTACAAAACATGACATAAATAATAAAACAAATTAATAATTTGGGCTTCCAGGCGCACATGCTTGGGTGGAGGACTATTGCTATTCGAAATTAGATGGCTCTAGGTCACTTTTTCAAACAGCAAGGAACACACATACATACATGCAGATTCTTCACCATTTACTTTCTTGAAAACTGATACAGGGCCAACACAAACATATTTGCTGGCAACAATTTGAAAAGTGATATGCCATTTATTGTGAACCAACAAAAAATCTCATTTTGAGACTAATAGCACCTTTTGACCTAAAAAAGGGAGTTTCTTCAATGAAGCCCTACTTAACTGCTGAAAGTAAGTTTCACTTATTACTTTGCAAATAGACTTAATTTTATTTAACTATAAATATTTACTGGTTATCTATATAATTAAAATAACTTATTTGTCTTTAACAGGATCTTTTTTCTTTTGGTAATGGACATGACTTCCATCAAAGGCGAGAGAAAAATTAATATACACCATCAAAAACCAATTTTTAATAGCAAACATAGCGAAAATTATATCTGATTTTTCTCAAAAAAATAAATTCTGAAATTACAATTAATGAACTCATACTAGTCAGATTTTAGAAATAATAATTAATAATACAGTTTTTACTGCAAAAGCAAACAACTCCATACCTGAATGAGCACTAGCTTCTTTTTCTGAACCAGATGCCCTGTTATCCTCTTCATCATCTAATAAAAAGAAATAAACAATGATAATTAATCAGCAATCATAAAATGATTCCAATATAACAAACATTTTGTGATATTTCATACAGGCAAAATGAATTTAGTTTACAATTTTATTATTTTAGTTATTAGATTTTATTTTTAGACTTCAGAATTTATTAATTTCGCAAACAATCCAAAAGAACAATTGTTTAAGGTTTAAAAAAATATTTTGTATAGGGAAAGAAGGAAATTATTACAATCAAATTGTAACCATACATAAAACTTGGCATTTATAATCTCAATATATTTACAATTTACGAAAGAATAAAACATAGTTGAACTCATTTAAAATGAGCTTTTTAGACTCGGAGGCTATTTTTAGGATGAGTAATTATTTACCATTTTTAATAATTAATCACAGCAATCAGAAAAATATCACATACTCTAGTAAGGTCTCTGGAGATCACCAACATAAATTAACTGCATAACTAGATTTCTACAAGTTACAATGTTTCTGATAACAACAATAATAAATTTATATATCTGGTTGTAACAAAAGTTTTCTGCCAAAAAAAATTTTTTTTTGGGGGGGGGACATGAAAGCAGTACCTTAGTGCAGGTAGTAATGACCACCCAAACTTCGCGTTGGTGTGTTTAATCATACTTTGTACATCATAAGTTTAGAATGCAACTTGTTACAGTCTGGCTTAGTTTTTATTATGAATATTTAGATATATAAGAATCCATTTCATCCATTTATTTATGTTGTATAATTGTATATGTATAATAGAGATAACTGGAAATTTTGTGTACATATTTAATATTTTATGGCAATTTTAGTACTGCTATTTGATACAGTCTTTAATTTATCATCATATATTGTAATTGTATATGTTTGACTGTTTTGTAATAATATATAGAATGTAATACTTGCAGTTTTCAGTAAATAACCAATGGAATTGCTAAAATGGGCAGAGTTACAGAATTTTTTAATTTTGCCAAGCTTGGCAAAAATTTTTTGTCACAAAATTGATACTATCTGACACAGAGTTGCCACTCAAAGAGGAGAATGAAATTCTCTGACTTTTCCAGGTATATTTTGAAAAAATTCCAGTCTATCTGCATAGTGTGCATTGGCTGTAAGTAAATTAATTATGGTACCACTTGTAAACACAAAAATTTGGCAATTACATATGACTTTATATATATATATATAATTCTCAAAGCATAACTATTATAATAATAGTTTTTTCCTTCACTGAAGATAGAGATTAGAATCTGCGCAATCTGGATAAAAAATGACTTTTTTTTTTTTTTTTTTTTTTTTTTTTTTTTTTTTTGCAGACTTTTTTGCAGCTAAATGAAAAGAAATCTATCTAATGATATTTAAAAATAAATTCAGGTATTTTATATTTATTTAGCAGGATACATAAGCAAATAATATGTGCATTAAATTTCATGCTAGTATGTCATCATACTGCTAGAATTAGTTTCAGAATTATGCCAGAGAAGACTGCCTGAAATTTGATAGTATTATTAACTAATAATAAATAAATTTACAGGAGAGAAGCAATATTAACCCTTAGCTCTCCGCACATTTTTATACCACTGCCTACCAGCAACTCCAGCACACTTTCGCAGCGGAATGCAACATCCAGAATATCTGCATAAATCTCTTGTAAATATTTTACCAAAGAAAGGGGTATGACTATTCTCCTTAAATGACTAATAATCCTGCATATTTGCCAGGGGTATAGTACCCATATTGATAATAACTCCAATAAAAGCCCAAAACTCATCTTCTTCCACCGCACGCCACATTTTCCAAATAGAATTACTAGATATTTCTTTATTCTTTAGAACATTTTCTGTGTAATTGTTTGTTTCTTTTATAATTTCATTTACCAGTTCGTTTGTGAAAGATAATTTGAAATATTGTCTTGGCTGTACAATATTTGTAGGAATTTGTGGTCCAATGACCTTTGGCGATACACTAAAATTTATTCTATCTGGAATATCTAATTCTTTCGTGACATAGCGCCATTCATCTAAGTCTTCCGGCGACTGTTTGCTTTCACTTTCAATAACTACCATTCGTCGTCTCTTTGGTAGTATAATTTCGGAACCACTACTTGAAGTGTCAGAATTATAATCAACATCGTCTTCCACAATAAAAAATCAAACACATCTTCACTATCACTCAAATCTACATTCTCATCACAATAATTACTTTACTCCATGTTGCTAACCATAAAATGGGTCAAATAATGTTTCAATCGTAACAGTAGCGAGACTGAGCCCGTTTTAACTACAAATAACAATTGCCAACGCCGACAATTCCATAACATCTTAAGCCTAATCATGCTAAAAACATTGGGCTCTGCAGCGGAGCCTACGAGTTATGGAACAAATAACGGACGGCTAGCCTAGATGACTGATTACTACATTTTTTCTAGTTTACTGCAAAATGAAAAATAAGTTATTTATTAAAAAAAAAAAAAAAAAAAAAAAGGTTTAAAAGACTTTGCATTAAAATCCTAATCTACGCTACGACCCTGGCACAATTTTGAAAATTGCCGCCAACACCAAAATGACCCCTTTACTGTGGTACCCAAAACAGTGGTGAGTTGTTATTGTTTTTCCTAATGTCGTCAAATCCCGTGTGTATCATATATGGAGGTTAGAATTAAAGAATATGTATTGTTAAGATGGAAAACTTCTCCGCAGCAGGAGTGGCTTTGTCACAACAAAGAGGAAAACAGCTGTGCACGCACGAAATATCTGTTGCCAAAGCTCCAAAGAGCATCTATGTAAAGAAGGAAAGGTTCCATACACATAATGTAAGCCAGCTTGCTATTACGCCGTTAGGAAAGGAGAAATCATTAAGGGATTAGGAGATGGATCTTGGCAGGCGAGAATCCCTCCCCCCGCGACGTGTACATGTTATTGAGAAACAAACGTGTTCTTCGAACTTTGACGACAGATATTTTGCACATGCACAGCTATTTCCCTCTATGTTGGGACGGAGCCACTCCTGTTGCGGAGAAGTTTTCTTTTTTTAACAATACATATTTTTTGAAAGCTCGAAGCCACCGTCAAAGTTCAAAGGTCACATTTATTAAGAGTACATATAAAACGAATATCGCCTTAAATTTCTTTAAAGGAAAAGAAAATATTTTTTCGTGCAAATAAATTAAGTAATGGATTAGTTATTTTGTGCAAAAAAAGTATGAAAATCTGAGTTTAAATAATTGTGAAAGTCAAAGGACAAACGTTTTGTCAGAGAACGCTTCTTCACAACACATGCTCCTCAATTTCCAGTACACTCACAGAGGGGTAAATTCTCGTCGCCAAATCTCTTGACAAGTTTTTCCATTCGCTTTCTAGCGGCACAATAGCATACTGGTTAACATTACATCTACGGAAGCTTTCCTTCTTTACATACAGGTTCTTTCGTTAGAATAGAGTACATGAGGGTGTATTCTAGGACTAAACTGATTTGATTTTATACGAGAATGGAAAGGTATTTTCTTTATTTCAACATGCACTGCACATGTGCATGGGAGTCTCTCAATTCTCGAGGTTACTGGAAATTTGCTTTGCCTTTCTACAAGACAATCTGATTGGAGTTGCGAAAATTGGTTCTACACCACCAGCTGAATGATGCTCAAGTGATACATAATTTGCCAACAAAGCGATTGCCTCAATGTTGGAGCAAAACTCGCTTTTTTTTGGGATCGCCGTATTACATTCCCCAACATTTCCAGATTTTGACTAAAATATTTAAATTTCCTGACGTTTTTCATCAATTTTCGAATTTCCCGAATTTTTATAGTTTTCCAGGTAGCGTGGCAACCCTGCTGACAGTTTTTCACTAACTTAATTTATGAAGTTTTCAGGGGGGTATTTTCAAATTACCGAGTAGTTCGAATCCCCTTGGTTATGGTGTAAGAACAGATGAAGAGATTGTAATGAGTTATTAACCACTTGCGCTACGACTAAACTTCACGGTTGCGGTGACGTGCGCTACAATGCAACAAGTGGTAAAGCGTCTCATTTACGCCACTTTGCGTCTGCGAGTGCAATCCAGAGTTGTAACTTGAGAAATAAACAATCTCGTTGTTAGGCGAAACGTGCACCACTTTATTTTCATTTTTGCGATAAATGCGACATGGTGCTCACGTCGCTCGCGGTTTGAGACAAAAGCATCTCGATGTGCGTGGCACGTCTTTTTAGCTCAAGTGGTTAAATAAAGTTTTTATAATAAACCACGAGTTATTCTGCTTAGACTCAAAAGCTCCTGAACTTTTGAGGATTTTAACTATTGCTATGCAAGTGATTTAATAATTATCATGTTTTCACAACTTTGAAACTGTGGGTTTTTGATAGCAGTAGTTTGTATTTTTAGAACCAAGTCAGTGATATCCGTTCCTGCATTAAAAAGAAGTTACAGCAATATCTCATGTTCCTTCTTTATTTGTAAAAATAGTTATAGCTCTTAGTTATTATAAAGGCTGGAGTTCTCCATTACACAGATTTTGACAATTTGGATGCATTTGATTATGGCAAAGCATACAAAGGCTACTGTAAAGATCGTGACTTAAAGAGAACGTGAAATATAAATAATAGGATAAGAACTTGCATTTTACGGTGTGGCAACAAGAAGAGAATTCGGAAGATTTTTATATATATGTTTTTTTTTTTTCATTTGGTGAGTTTAAGAGGGTAGTATTTCAACAGTTGTAAGAGTTTTAACAGTAGTAGTTAAGAGTTTAAAATTTTAATAGTTAAGAGCTGCAGCATTTATATTTTTGTTCTGTTTTAAAATTCAAATAAAAGTATTTTGTTCATTCTGAAAATTTAGCTTTGTTCTTCCTACAAGGTTCAATATCCATTATATTGAAATGAGGAAAGGATTTTTACTGGTCCAGCCGGTAGGATCGGGGTTTCCCCACATATAATTACGAACCAAAATAACTCAGGTGAGAGCTCAATTTACCTTGTAAACATAAAATAATTAATTAAGATTATGAAAAGTTAATTATTGTTTCCGTCATGGAATCTTAGTTTATTTACTTGTCAAAGTAATGAATATGCCAGTGTTCAAATGTAATTTCGTTTGACTCGCCCGAGTAGGTGAACAACACATTAAGTATTGATTCAACTGATTGATTTTCGTGCCGAATAAAATTAAATTCATTGTGAATTATATTTAAATAGAAAAAAAAATTGCTTTTTATAAAACTAAGAGTCTATTGACTGAATAAAATCTGAAATCAGTACTTGGCGTCAGCCAGCTGCTACAGTGTTACACATAGAAACGATTATTTCTCCCCCCCAACGAAAGAGAAAACCGCAATCAGGGAGTTCATACTTTAACTAATGTTAAGGATAAATTGAAGGACGCATTAACAAGAAATTAGTTTTTTTTTTTTTTTAAATTAAATTTTCAAAGAATAAGGTTTATTTAAAATCGAGACATGGTTTTTATAGGACGTGCGAAAAAAGAGGATTTGCTAGTTTTAGCTGCTGAATTAGAAATTTAAGTAGATCCAAGTATGAAAATCGTGGCGATAAAAAATGAAATAATTCAAAGTGATACATATGATGAAGCATTTGCTAAAGAAGTGTTTTTAACGATTGTTGAAGAGAGGAAAAGAAAGGAAGAGGAACAGCGAAGGAAGGAGAAAGAAGAGATTGAGGAACAGCGAAGGAAAGAAGAGATTGAGGAACAGCAAAGGAAAGAAGAGCTTGAGGAAAGGCGAAGGAAAGAAGAGCTTGAGGAATAGCGAAGGAAAGAAGAGATTGAGGAACAACAAAGGAAAGAAGAATTAGAAGCACAGCAGAAAAGAGAGCAAATGGAGTTTGAATTGAGGAAACTCAAAATTGAATCTCGTGTTCGACTGACAAAAACTTCCACCAACAAATGAAAATGGACAATCATAATTTTGATTTAATTAAGTTTATTCCCAAATTCAATTTAAGATACAATGATATTGTGATTTATCGTTATCCTTATTTGAAAGACAAGCTAAAAGGAACAAAGATTGATCCTAAAAAAGATTGGGTTTCATATTTATTGACTTTAATGCCATCTGAAATCATTCAATTAATTGGTAGGGAATCTGAAGAAAATTTATGAAGATTATGAGTACATTAAGGCCATTCTTATTGAAGAGATTTGAATTAAATCCTTGAAAGCTTTAGAAAAGAATTTGTGATGCACCAAAAGAGCGCTGAAAAATCATGGAGAGATTTCGTACTACGAAATTACAAGTTATTTTGAAGAATGGATCAAGTGGTCTTGAAATCATCACAAAGCTTTTGCCATGGTTAAAAGACCTCTTGATTATTACTGACCAAATTAAGAAAAAGAGTACCCTCATCAAAGTAAGAGACATCATCTTGCCTTGAGTGGACTAGGCGAAGTTCGTTTCTCCAACCAAATTAGCTGATAAACTTGACACTGTCATATTCGATAAACTTGTCGAATATGACAGTGTTCGTAATATCTCAAAACGGACTGGTGGTAATCCATCAACAGACAGAACTAATGTAAAATGGCAACCTCATTCTCCACTTCCAGAAAGAGCTTTCAGAAATAAATCGCTGTCCACTGAGAACACGCCATGAGTGTACCCATCCCGTAAGAGTGACGAACCACAAAAGCCTAGCTTCAAACTAACTTGCTATAATTGTGGAAAAGAAGGTCATACATCTAAGTTATGTACCAAAAATCGGATACCAAGAAGTGCTCCTGCAACAGCACAAAACAACTTAATACAAACACAAACACCCCTTGCAGAAAAAGAAAAACCAGAAGTGCTAACTGCCAAGATCTCTATTCATGTCAAACCAAAAAAATCTGCACCAAAAGTTATTAAGAAAAAAACTGAAAAGCAAGTATTTTATCCTGTGACAAAATATGAAGTTGATTACACCAATCAAAATTATGTTCGAAGCAAATGTAACAAAAACAAAGGTTTACACCGTTACGTAGTTGGCAGGACTTGCAACTGGGATGTGGAATATGATAATCATTTTTATGTTAGAAGCAAAGTTGATTGTCCAAAAGGCTTGCATAGAAAAATACCAACTATAAAGCGAAAGCGATTGCCAAACAGAAATGATCTAGCAGAGAACACTGGTTGGGAATTTGACTATGGTCTTGAATATGACCAAGTTGAAGGTGATGTGCCATATATGCCTCAGGGAAATTTTGTAACAAGAGGAGGATACCGTTTCTATGGAGTGCACAGGAATGATTCAGACATGGAAGGAGAATTCAAAGAGTCCCGCAAAGAGATAAAGGAATTAATGAAAGATGAATTCAAAGTTGCTGGGGAATTCTCCCAAGAACATATTCCACTTATAATAAAGCGGAAAGAAGGAAGAATTTGCAGAGGTGACTATCGCTTTTATGATACAGATAGAAATACTTACGATGTCGACTCTGGTGAAGACGTAGACTATGAAACTGGAAAACCGTTCAAACGTACCATATTAAAGAAGACGTATAGTTTTTTCCCGAAGAAAAGTGTTTCTCAGAAAAAAAAAGAGGCAAGGCACAGGCATTTCTTTTATACCAGGAGAAGGAAGCAAGGCATTTTACGAAGGAGTCTCTTATGTTCGTTCTGGTACGCCAGTGAAAAAAACACCCAAGTATCAGAGAAGTCTATAAACCGGTAAAGAAGTCCAGCAGTTACATTACAGTGACTAGCAGAAGACGACGTTCAAGTACTCGAGGTGATGAAAAAGACATTTACTTGAAAGGAGAGCATGAAAAAAGATTTTCTGACGAAGCACGTCTAACCTCTAGAGATGAAAAAAGATACTCATTACCAGAAAGGAGGTCTGAGGAAATTGCCTCAGAAAGAAGATTCAGAGAACCAGAAGAATTTGTATATTCAGCACACGCAATGAGTGAAGATAGACCCCGAAAAATATCCTCTTATTCGGAATCCAAGCACCGAGAAATAGATGACATGCCAAGAAAAAGTCAAATTTTTCAAGCTGAGAGCAAAGAAAAAGTACTTAAAAAAGTGTTACCTCATCTTACACTCATGCTGAAAGAAGTAAAAGAGCGAATGGCAATAAGATGGATCAAATTATCAAGGATGAAATTACGGCTAATGAAAACATATCAAGAAAAGTATCACCTTATATTCTCTCCAAGCTAAGAGAGATAAAACAAAGAATGGGAAAGGAAATAGATCAAGTTATAAAACACGAGCAGAAAAAATCTTTTGGATTAAGTGATGAGAAGACAGAAAAGCAAGAAACTAATGCCCTGTCAACAACGATGGTCAACCATCGAAAGAGAAGCATTTTGTGTCATCGAAGCCTTGAAAAAATTTGACACATGGATTTTTGGTGCCAAAGTGCAGATTGTGTCTGATCACAATCCCCTCACCTACATGACCCAAAGCGCCCCTCACGGTGCTAAATTATCTCGTTGGGTCTTAGCGTTACAACAATATAACATGACTGTGACATACCGCAAAGGAAGTTCACATCGGAATGCTGATGCTTTGTCAAGGTTAGCAGTTAACTCTTTCTCTCTCAATGAACTCTGAGCAGCATTGTCTCTACGGTGACGAATGTGCTTCTTGTGGGGGGTTTGTAAAGATCGTGACTTGTAAAGATCATGACTCGTAAAGATCGTGATTTGTAAAGATCATGACTTGTAAAGATCGTAACTTGTAAAGATCGTAACTTGTAAAGATCATGACCTGTAAAGATCGTGTAAGAACGGTGAAATATAAATAATAGGATAAGAACTTGCATTTTAGGGTGTGACAACAAGAAGAGAATTCGGAAGATTATATATATATATATATATATTTTTTCGTTTGGAGAGTTTAAAGAGGGTAGCATTTTAATAGTTGTAAGAGTTTAAAATTCTAATAGTTAAGATCTGCAGCATTTATATTTTTGTTCTGTTTTAAAATTCAAATAAAAGTATTTTGTTCATTCTGAAAATTTAGCTTTGTTCTTCCTACAAGGTTCAATATCCATTATATTGAAATGAGGAAAGGATTTTTACTGCTACTTACGTAAGCGGTGAGATGCATTTGTGGAGGATTTATTGGAAAAATGGCTTACATTCATTTTAAAACATGGGGAAAATCACAAAAACATCTATGCAGTCAGCTTGTTTGCTGGAATCTCAAACTACTTGTGTGTTCATTGGTCTTGCCTACTCACATGCAGTAACATTACCTTATATTTATAAAACAAGTCTAGCACAGAATTTTTAATTAAATTTATATTTAAAAAAAAGAAAGGTCTTTTTAAGAGTCACATTAAATATTTGTGGCAGTGCTAGATTTTTAAGAACATTTATATTTTTTATCAGGCACAATGGTTAGTTCTGTTTCCACTAACAGAAATTTACAATAAGCTACTTTCTTAAAAAGCAGTACAGTTTTAACATTCTGAATTTCCTTAGCATTATTTTATTAAAAATCACTTTTATAGTGATATTGTTTTCAGATGTGTAATTACTTTTCCAAAATACTCTGACAAAGATCTTACTTTTCCTCATTGCATTAACATAGCCACTTTCAAATAACAGATTCAAAGTCAGAACCGGTATAAAACACTTTTTCTGAACATGTGGTAAAAGCACTCCTGTTCAGGATCCTGTTTCAAATATTTATGAAAATAACACAATGAGATTTTGCAAGACCCTGGCAAAAAGTCTCTTGGAAATTATTAAAAGACTCTGATTATTAACTCCAATAAAATCTGTTCAGGGATCCACTAACACTTGTAATTAATCAACAATGACAACAACAACAACAACAAAAAAAGTACTAACCAGAATGTGCCACTTCTTTATCAGAACCTGATGTTCTGCTTGCATTTTCATTATCTTAAGGGAAAAAATTAAACATAAAAATAATTATCAAATATAATGCAAAAAATTCTTGATGAACATTTTCTCATTTACACTGTGCATTTAAATAGCACAAGGACTGAAGCAAAATGATATCTTTTTTTAAAAAAAAATTTAAAAAATATTTAGTGAACATAAGCATAAACACTATGAATCACAGCTTGTAAACTATAAATAAAGTTTACAAGCTGTGATTTTGATGTAAGGCACATTAACCATTTGTCCCAATATTGGCAGATTGTGCCTTATTTGAATGATAAACTATTTCAACAGTGCTTCTTCAACATTCCTATACTCTTCTACCTTTCTCATTTTTTGCCTTATACCCAAATTCTTTTTCAAGAGCAAAAATTATAGAGTTTTGATTTTTTTCATATGGTATCTACAGCTTTGGATAAACCGTATCAATATGGCTGCATCAATTTTATGTTTTCTAATAATATTCACCTTATCTTCAACACAGAAGCTTCTTTACATTTCCAGCTCACGATGCAGATGAAGTTTCAACACAGAAACAGACAGCAGAGTCTGTGAACAAAGTGCAGAGAATTTGGAAAAAATTTTCCACTTAAAAAAAAAAAAAAAAGAAAGAAAGAAAGACAAATATCATCAGCTACACATCTTCTTCAATGTTCAGAGAAAGCATGATCATGTCTCGCAAGATATGTATGGTTGTAATGCAAAGATTTAATAACCTTTATAAAAAGGTACTTAAGTAGTTTCAAAACCACGTTAGTAGAAGTCACAAAATTTTCAGAAGGCAGCAAACTCTGGTAATTATGTGCAAAACAATTTTTCAGGTAACCACATCCACTGTAAGTTGCAATCTGAAAATTCACTGCATCACCTTTAATTCTTTAAAAAATCACCAAACTGGACCAAGGTGGTTGCACTTATATGTAAGTACCCATTAAAAAAAATCTTACATCTTGTAAAACTCCCTATTCAGAGGATACAACTTAGAGAGAATTTATACTCAAACAAAACAACCAAATAAGGATAAAAACCTTTCATTCACTAAAAGAAGACTAAACTGTAAAACTGCAAGATAACAGTGATTTATAAAGATTTGGCTATATCATAAGATTTGGCTTTTCCTCTTTACCTGAATATCCCAAAATTTCCATCATAGCATCAGCCTTGAGTAAGGTTCTATCTGGCAGCTCAGTCAAATGACTTCAATGAAATAAGAGAAACCTTACACGTTTTTTGGTTCAATGGTCATATGCACCATTAATGTCATAAGACATGCTTATTTTATTGTATAATTCTCCTACAATGGGTGTCACACCTATCTTACACAGCCTTTGAGCAGAACACAGAGAAAAGTTTAAAGGCAAAGATTGACAGGAAATAGTGTAAAAGTGTTTCCATTTACAAATAGAATGTTTAAAAAAATACAAAAAAAAGTTTAAATCAAAGATTAAACAAAGCATCTGTCAATTCAAAGTATCCATCAATGAATTTGCCAGGCACATTCAGCAGACTGGAAAAGAACAGACAACAAATTTAATGAACAAGTTTAACGATAATTGTAATAAAATTTTAATGAGATTTTCTTTAATCAGATTTATTATTCATTTTTTTTGTCACAGTGATAATCAACTTTTTTCCCTTTATTCATCATTTAATTTTCACATATTTTTGTGTAAGATAATTCATCTTTTTAAAAAATCAAATCAGATATAACAAACCACTGGATACAGTGAAGCTTTTGGCCTCTTGAAGTTTCCTATAGCAGATTTTCACAATAGTAATATTAGTGAAGAACATTTGCACATTCTTTTCAGAATTCCTAAAAATATATTTATAATTCAAATGTCTACTAAGGTAAAAAAAAATGACATTTTCCAACCACTAAATATAAATTTCATAAACCTTAGTTGTGACTGCATTCTATAATTATTTGTAATTGTATTATGGAAATAATATATAAGCACACAAATATTCTTTATGCATTAATCTTATCTTAACAATTCAGTAACACACATTTTTAAAAATTTGCTGAATAATTTTTTCTTTATAACTTAATATATAAATTATAGAAAAAAGAAACACATGAATAAAGATAAGTAACAAACCAGATTGAGCAGCTTCTTCTTTGTCAGATTCTGAAGCTCTGCTTTCATTATCTGTTTAAAGGAATAAAGGAAAAAAGAGAAGAAACCAACTGCATTAAACATTTTTATGATATATATATATATATAGATAGATATATATGTGTGTGTGCATATATCCTTATAAATATATCACAATGTTAAATTTCATGCACAAAATAAATAAAGCCTTAACAAAAAAACATGATGTAGACACCAAATCACTTCCTTGTATGGCCTATTAAATTATATACATTTTTGCTGCACTTTTGAAAATGACATAAAAAATTGCACAATTTGAAATTAAATAACAATAACTTTTGTCATACAGGAGCCGAACTTCTTATACATTTTTTTTTTCATAACAAGCACAAAAATTTACCAAACGTAAGTATTGATACTAGTAGACCACATTAAAAGTTAGATTTTTGTTATTTGTCCAAAATTAATTTTAAAAAAAAATTGACACTGGCCAAACATGAATATTTTTAATATTTAAAACACTTCTGTAAATGGAAGTATATGACTATGACCGGAAAGGCCAGATAAGGACTTTTGAGCTGGGTAAGGGAGGTGGCTATATATCTATCTATATATACATATACAAGCATAAAATATATACAAATCAGCTTTATAATTTAATTTTGTAATAACCTTTTAATTCCTCTTTCTTAATCTGGTTATTTTCTCTTTATTCTAAAATAATAACAGCATTTCTGGACTGTGCTATTCTAGATCAATCTATGCCATGAAGCTTGCGTAACGCTGATGACATAGTTATTTCAGAACCTAAACTCAGAGAACTGAAACCTTTCTAATGCAAACCCAAACTTTCCTCTTTGGTTGCTTGGATGCCATTTCATTTTGCTGTGTTCTCTTTCTATTGCAATAGTACTCAAAATAGCAAATGTTCTGAAAATAGGCACAATCAGAGTGCCAAGTGAACTGTGGTCAGTAATGTGAATTTAAAATAAAAATAAAATTTAATCCGCCTTGACTGCCAAAGTTCCTATTCAATATGGATTAACATTCTATGCAGTCAGAATTCTTCCTCTTCAATATGCTATATAAGTGCTTCACCAAACAACATTGCTACGTCTTTTTCTCTTTTTTATCATATATATATATATGTATGTAAAAGGATGACTTGGTGGAAAGTTGCAACAGATTGTTGTAGGACAGGCTTAAATGCATATTTGGAAATGATGACACTCGAAGACACAGATAACAGTAAATTCCGCACATAATTTTATTCCTTGATAATGCACATCATAACTATGGGTGTGCTATACGCAATTTTGTACAGCTTACAACATCTTAAACAGTGCACCAAATTAGAAAAGTAAACAGTGCGTGGCAATGAAGTGAAAAGAAGCAGAAGAGAAAAGGGGGTGGTGTTGCGACACAATTACATTTTATACCGAAATCCATTTCATAGCAAATGACAGATTAATGTCCAGATGCTTGGTTAAGATGATTTCATTGATAAGTGCGAATCAGAACTACAGGGAGTTTCATTAGAAAATTATTGCTCTGCTATTTTTAGAATGAAAACAGAAGCTAAAAGACTATTATTAATTTATTATTTGAAAGTTAGATATTTTACATATATGTACACTGCTCAAAAAAAAAAAATGGGACAGTCCTATATCTCCCGATCTACTGGGCCGATTGACAAAATTCAAATTGCGTTCTTCATGCCTCGAAAGTGCGACTTAGGATATATATTAGATTTATATATAGCACTATTCTAACATAGGTATTTTGACACAAAATCGGACTTTTTCTGAAATAACATACCAATTTTTTTACATATTTCGATTCTACGACTCAAATTACGCCTAAATATGAAATTTTGTAAAATTTGGAGCGAAATTTACGGAGAAATTCACAAATTTATGTTGGCACTTTTTGTCAGTTTGCGCCAAGAATACTTCACTTGGCGAACTTCTTAATATATGGCAACCTAGTTTCCTTAGGAAAAAAAGTCACCATCGTTCCTTTTTTCCAAATAATATTCTTTATATTATATTTTTAATTATAACTTATTATTTTAAGTAATTTTTTCTTTTTCGAATTTCATTTTAATTGTTTAAGTTGCACGTTTTTTTTTTTTTTTTTTTTTTTTTTTTCGAATAACTGTTTTAAAAATTTCTATTTACCTATTCGAACTGCGTAAATAAAGGTGCAGCGTTTTATTTTTTTTTTTTCAAATAGTTTTCTTTATATATTTTTTTCGTCATAGCTATTATTTTAGGTCATTTTTAAATTTTTATACTTTTATTTTAATTGTTTGTGTTGCATTGTCTCTTCAGATAATTGTTTTAAAATTTTCTATTATTCCTTCGAACTGAGCATTTTAAATATATTTATTAATATCAATTTTCCAGAATTTGATTTTATTTATTTGAACTGCGTTCTTTTCGGAAGAATACTTTGTAACCCAGACTACGATGCGTTTGAAAACTGCATACTATATTAAAAGAGAAAATACAGTAAAGCACAGTTTTACACGCCTTTCAATGTTCCGTTCAGAAAAAATATATATAATAAATAAGAGAGATGTATAACCGATATTTTAACTTAGGATGACTTGCATACACTGCTTTAAACAGTTTTTATCATTGTGCCCATTGCTTTACACAATTTTATCCTACATTTGGTTTCTTAAAATGTTATTCATATTTTAGTCAAATATTTTATTTTTGAAATCGCAAGAATCAAATATCATAAGATTGAAAAGTTTTAAATTAAAAAAAAATACAAATACTAAATTTTACGAAAAAATTTATTTTTCTTCTCTGTTTCTTTAAGCATTCTGAAAGTATATTGAAAAGTATCCAACTTTTCGAAACATTTTGGTATTTCTGACAATTATTTTAAATAAAGTTATCGCCTTCCATTTCATAAAGGCCCACAAACGGCCGAGTGGTAAAGTTGCTGAACACTGGTAGTTCACTCCGGGGTTCGAATCCCGGTAAACGGGCTGGTTGCATGGGCGTTTTCGTGGATTTTCTCATGTGTGTACCGCGTATGACAGCTGGTTTCCCTTAGAAAGTTCTTCACGAAGTATTTTGTCAGAGCCTTTATCAGTCTTTAGAGGCTAAACATTTTGAAGGTATGAGATGAAAGGAAAGACTGGTTTCATCAAAAGGTTTTGGTTTATTTTATTATGACAAAGCACACTAGGGCTATCTGCCTAAGGGGAGGGATGCCTTCGTGGAGGACTTTCTAAGGGAAACTGGCTCGCATACACGTTACACATGGGGAAAACCACGAAAACGCCCATGCAGCCAGCCCGTTCGCGGGATTCGAACCTCGGACCGAACTACCAGTGTTCAGCGACTTTACCGCTCGGCCGCTGTTTCATCAGGAGGGAAAAAAAAAAAAACATCTTTAGGTGACATCCACATACATCACTGGATAAACTCCTGAATCTTCAAATAATTCGACTGAGAAAATCATGGGATTCTCCATTTATGATACGATATGATGTTCTATAACGTAATTTAAATTTATACAACCATATAGTTCTAAAACCAGCTCTTCACTTTAATCTGCAATGATATCGTTTTTGTCTTTTCTGTTAACACAAGCTCAATTGATGGTATTTGCTGGTGTACACGTCCAAGTGTTTTTTTCTCTTTGAACACCTAAATTCTTTGAAGTATCCTGAAAGTATATTCAAAAGCGTCCAACTTTTTGAAACATCTTGGTATGTCTGACAGCCAAATTTCCCTGCAAATTTTTGCTTACTTTTCTCCCTAATTTTCTTCTTTCCTTCTACAGTTATTTTCAGTGCTCACACAAGAAAATTAAGATTTTTCGATTGCTAGACTTCCATAACATTTTGCATTCTTGTCAATTTTTTAAAATATCAATTATGAATTGCGTTTCAGCTAAAGACAGCTTTTCATTTTCTAGTCATTTTAAGCTATAAATAAAGTTTAAAGCGAAGTCCAAAGGATAAATATTTTAATTAAAAGATTTTTGCTAAATGACAAAGAAATAAAACAGTCCAGCAGGGTTTATTCTGTACCACCAGAGTAACCCGATTCTTATATCGGCTGAAACAATCTAAATCATATTAAAGATCATGTTTTTTTATACAATCTATAACGCGAGAGAAAAATTAGCTTCTTAAAACATTGCTTTCTAAGAGGAATTAATATAAAAATTTATATTTATATATATATTTTTTAAAGCTGGGACTTGAACCAAACTGTCAGACTTTTAAAGCTTAATTTTACATGGTGGTTATTATTAAAGTTCCAACTTTGAAATGGTCATAAAAGGAAAACTACCGGACCAAATGTTATCAAACTTGGGAATCGTGTAAAGGAGGTTATGAGAATTTATTTTCGGCGGAAAAAAAAAAAGAGTTCAAAAACTCACCATCAGGGGAAAAATGGCGCTGTATACAATATTGTTAAATGAAATAAGACACGAAAACATCTGTTTAAAATGTGTTTAATATTTTCCGAAACGTGTTACAAAGCATGTTCAATGTAGCGTCCAGCATTTTCCGAAAGCAAGTTAAATCATGTTACTGCATTCTCAACAGCAGCTCTTAGCATATCAGGTTTGGTTTTGGTTTGGTTTATTAGATTACGGCAAAGCACTCGAGGGCTATCTGCCTTAAGGGAGGGATGCCTTCGTGGAGGACTTTTTAAGGGAAACTGGCTCGTATACACGTTACACATAGCATATCAGGAGGAATGTTATCAGTGTATCACATTTTTCATTTCTGCCAAATTGTTTAGATTATCACCATAAACAGTGCTTTTGAGACAAAAGTCACAGAGGTTGAGGTCTGGTGGGAAGAGGGGAAGTGTTGGCCTATAAGACGTTCATTCGTGAAATGTTGCCTAAGTAACTATGCGACACTCTTGAGGTGCACAGCCCTGCATAAAAATCGTAGTATCTAAAATGCCACGTTACTGCAGTTCATGTATCACGAAACATTTTAATACTGGCTCAAAGTGAGCTGCAATCGCAGTGATCCAGCTGTCGACTGCTCTTCAGAAAAAATGGTT